CACTTACAACAAAGCACTTCCACTTTCTATTAAAAACTCACTTTTAGCCTTACATTTTCATACCCTACCTATCACATCATATTTTTTCTCTTATAATCTATCAATCACATCTTACTTTTACTCATCACACAATGGGCAAAATTGAAAGTCAACTATAATTTAATACTTTTATTTTGGCTCCAAGTAAAACTAGGAAGCTTTTTTGCAACGGAAGGAGTAACACAGGGAGAATTTACCCCCTAGGATTTTTGTAATAATAACACACGAGAGTAAAATGTATATACGGAGTACTAAGAGGTTACTACCCCCGATCTCCTACTCTTGTGGAAGGGAGGGTGGTAATGAATGTGAATGGAGTACTATATTAACAAATTGTAATGAGCATCATTGTATGAATACAAAAAAAATGTATTGTGTATAATTTGTACTTATGAGGCAAATAATGTCACTCGTATATCATCATCATCATCATCATCATTGTTGTTGTTGTTGTTGCTATATATTGTTGTTGATATTAGAGATGGTGTTGTTAATATTTTTATGTTATTATTGAAAGGACTTTCATCATTAGGTCATAACTTCAAATTTGAGAACATTGGAAATACAAAAGAAAAAGGCCGGAACATTGGAAATGCAAAATGAGATGTCTTAGCTAACAAACGAGCAACTTGATTTGCGTGTTATTCTTCTAACCATTGACCAAGAGAGATGTGAAAATTTTGACCTTATTAACAACGAACAATCAGAAACACGGACAATTTGGATTATCTTCCATCTCAATTCTCAACCAATTCATCAATTGGATATTATCCCCACGGCAAGAGAAATCATTCGCTATTACATAGTAAATGATGGGAAGGATGGCAGAGCATGTATCAACCTTCACGCCACTCGATCATCACACATTCATTCACCCATTACTACCATTATTGTAACAAATACTTATGACTCCTATTTTTATGTTTTTCTATAGTTTTTTACTCCATTATGATACGAACAGTGTATTATGAAATATTATTATCATGGCGGCAGTTCGGGTGACATGAACCCCGGCCCTTATGTCATCCTATGACATGTGTTAGAGTGGGCATACCACATCGGAAGTTCAAGGGTAAAATAATCGGTATATAAGCTCTCGAGTTGAACTAACTAATCGATTGGATTCAATCTTTTAATGTGGTTCAGCCCAAGTGTCTTATTATCCAATCCAGTTGTTCATACCTCATACTAAATTTTATCAACATGGGCCACGATTAGGGCATCTACGATGCTTCGTTCGAAAATTTGATTGTTCCCACCCCTAACCCCCCGATAATCCCCCACTCCCTGCCCGGCTTGATCAAACATACCCTCACACCCCTGTCAATTACATGCCACAAAATTTAGTTGACTTTGGAGTTAAACTTTGACTCCAAGGTCAACTAAATCTTGTGGCATGTAATTGACAAGGGTGTGGGGGTATGTTTGGGTCGGGCTGGGGATGGCGATTTGTCGAGAGATAGAAACTATCAATTTTTTCAAACGGAGTATCGCATGAACCTCAAATCATCTCATGACATTGAATCCGGGTGGGAACGAAGGTGTATTATCATTATTATTGCTCTACTAGCTTTCTCCTACTTGCAGCTGATACGGTAATAACTATTTGCCGCCTTCCATCCATATCGTGTGTGTGTGTGTGTGTGTGTGTGTGTGTGTGTGTGTGTGTGTGTCACGTCCATCCGTTCATCATAAGACACCGCAATATTATGGTAGGTATGTGAATCATGTGATGCCTCTATTATTCATGTCTCTAAAAATATGTAAAAGAAAAAAAGACTTGTAACTTTGTAAGTAATAAAAATATATAAATTGAGAATATGTAAATTGGATTTTAATCCTAAAGTCCGGATGTTTGAGTGCAAACTTTCAATGTTAACGAAAAGTTGTGTTGTATCATCAACTAACAAGTCCATTATTTGGATTTTGCATATAAATAGATGGTTCCGGGTATGTTTGAGACACAAAAAAAACTTTCATACTCGTTCATACGTGATTCACTAAGAAGTCTATCAAGTCGCTTTTTACATTAGTTCATCGAATACCGATTCTCCTAAAACCTAACGCAGCTACGTGCGTTATTACCTCTCTCAAATTTCCAACATAAAATACAGTTGGTTTTTTTAATACATCTAGTATACGATGCTTGACTGAAATATTTTCATGACAATTTATTTGAAAATTATGGTGGAATTAAAAAATAAAATTTACATATTTAAAAGTTAATAAATTGGTGCTGGAAATTTTTGCGCTATGTGAAAGAATTAGATTGAACTATCAGAAAAAATTACGCTACAATTTTTTGTGTACTACAATCTGTTCTCTAAAAGACTAAAACAAAACTAAATATTTTTGACGACTCGATCACTATAACACTTTTTTCACAAAATGGAATTATAAATTATTTTATCGATAATGAATTACTCTTTTTCCCAAAATGACACTACAAAAGTTGTGAACTGATATTTTTTTAAAAGGCTCGCACAAATCTTCAAAAAGAGTGTAGTTTTCTATTTTTAGAAACAATATTTAAAATTTAAAAACTCTAAAAAAATTAAAATAAAAAGAAATTTGCCTCAAATAATCTCAGCTTTCATTTCTTTGCACAAAATAAGCTTTTTTTTAAAAAAAACCGTTAGATCACCGTTACATATCTAATGGCGATCCAAAATTGACACACACACGAGAAACTTGGATTATTACGTGTAACATTGAAAAGTCATATTATTTTTGGGAAATTTACTACAATAGCACTAAAATATAGTGAGTTTTCCTACATAGCATCACAAGTTTTAATTTTCATAACTACTTTCTAATTAATTAATTATTAATTTTAGTATACTATCATTCACCGAGCATTGATAACAAAATGCCAGCGTAAGTGTCGTGCCGCCACTTTGTTAATAATGTTCATTATGCATGAGGCATGACTTGATGACTTTCGTGGTTTCACTCTAGTAATGTCCAATATCGTTATTAATGTCTACATGTCTATTGCCAAGACATTATCGGTTGAGTAAAAGGATATTATCGAGAATGAATACTACTGTACTTTAAAATGAGTAGTACACGATTGTACATTACTTCCGGTACAACCGGTTGTACCATATACCTACCCATAGACTGCAAAGCATGGATTGGTCCCCTAATTAAAACTTATGTAGTGCTTTTTTTATCTAGGGAAAAGTTTATGTAGTGCCTTAATTATCACAATAATCCTGCTAGGTGTAGGGTGTATCCCAAGAATTATATTCTAAAATATATCTTAAAAAGTTTATACCAACATTTTAATAGATTAGATTGACATAAAATTTGAAATTACATTTTAAAGCACATTCTTTAGAATACAAATGGATTGATTCTTACCTCAAAATGCAAAATGGACATATCCGATCGGCCCATGCCTAAATGCCCCCCTAATAATTAATGTGCTAGGAGAAGTGTATTATTAACTATCGGGGCTGTCCCCCTTTATTAATTAGCACAGGTTCGCCGCTCACCGCTATTTATTACTCTTCCCTTGTCTACTTGCAACCTTTTTCTTTTCCAAAATTTTAGTAAATTATTTATAAAACCCCTCTTTTATTTTTTATTATTGTTATCTTCTTTTATTTCCCTTTGATCGATGTGCAAAACTGAAAAACGTGTCTCTCCATATCACTTTGATATATGGAGTAGGTGATGGTTCCAAAAACTCACTTTTAATTGGTATATAAATTTTTTTTGGGGCTATGAACACAGTCTGCTTTGATGACTCTTCATTGGGTTACGTTTAATATTTCTAAGATTAAAGTTGTGATTCATAGAATCTTAGTTAATTTTTAGTTTCAGGGTGCATGCCACTTTGGTTTTTGCTTTTGTGAATTTGGTTATTGTAAACTGCTTGATGTTCAAGAATGTCGGTCCTATTTGTATTCTTTTTCTCGGGATTGCAACATTATTTTTATGTCACCCCAAATAAATGAACACGACTGCAAGGACCGTGTGAAATGGTTCATGCCCTTTATGGGTATTTTCTGCCACGTGGACGTCATGTTAACATAGACTCTGTTTCGTTCAACTTATTTTTTCTGATCTGATTTGATTTTTTGTAGTTCTGATCTGATTAGATCTGATCTGATTGGATCTGGTCTGATCTGATCTCATCTGATTGGATCTGATCTGATTAATTATAATTTGATTTAAAATTCGAATCAATAATTTGATTTGAATTTATAATAACATTTGAAAATTGTTATGATAAATCATATTATAATATAATCAATATTTTTTATTTTATAATTATTTTTTAATAAAATAAAATTAGTTAATTTACATATTAGAATAATCATTCATATTTTAATGTAATAATATTTTTTATTTTATGATTATTGCTTGTGAAATAAGAATATTGATTTAATATTTTAATAATTAGTTCATACATACATTAGAATAAATATTTAATTTATATAAAATCAATACAGAGAAGAGATAATATTTTTATTAAAATATGTAATCCTTATAAAAGATCAAAACTTTAGAAACTCAATTACAGATAGCAATAAAAATGTATTTTAAAAGTAGAATTAGATTGACATTGTCAATGTATTTTAAAAATAATTTTTTCGACGTCTAATAATTAAGGATTAATTTCTCAGTTTTCTATTTAACTTGTTTCTAAAGTTTATTCTTTTTCATTTTTAAGAATAATAATAATAATAATAATAATAATAATAATAATAATAATAATAATAATAATAATAATAATAATAATAATAATAATAAGAAAAAGAACAACAACAACAACAATAATAATAATAATTCTTTATGGATCTGATCTGATCTAGTCTAATCTGATTGGATCTGGTCTGATTTGTTCTGATCTGATTCAATCTGATCTGGTCTGGTCTGATTTTAATAAGAATAAGAAAAAATAAGTTGGACAGAACAAGGCCATAGTCCTTTTCAGGGACAAAATGGTGTAATGTTTCATGCCCCTCAACAACAAATCAAACACCACTTCCATGCTTTTCAATCAACAATACATGCTCCTCAGCGGTCAAATTTGAAGGTCATTCACCACCGTATCTAAGTAGAGGGGTAAAACAGAGTTGAGATAGAGATTTTAAACAAATATACCATAAACTAAGGTAACAATTTGCATATACAGTAACAATTTTTGCATATCACCAATGCATTCAATTTACATTCATAGCAACGACAGACGACCAATTTGTTCGCATTTAAAAGGTTAACCAACAAAACAAAGCACGGTGAGGAAATAAAAGACAAGAACCCGCAAGACAAGTGACCGGGCGCAAGAACGTATTAAGTACCACAAACCAACTCATAATCACACATAAATACCGTAATAATATGGCGCGAAGAAGTGAGAGAGTTCAGTGAGCACTGACAATGAAAGAATGTTGGCAAACACCACATTCTATGGTCTCTGAACCGGAGCTTGGAACTTGAACCTGCAAATGAACTGTACAAGTAGGGCACGCAACCTCCTTCGTCCTCCTTCCGGAACCAGCTGACCTCGTGGAGCCTGAAAATCAAAGGAAGCTTTTCATCAAGCCAAATGCAGAGGCATAAATATATAAAGAGAAAGAGAAGGTAACTTATTCCTGCACTGAGATTTACCAGATGATGCCTTGCTGTTTCTCTCCATCTCCTCCTGCGGAAAATGGAATAGCCATAGTGATCAGAGCTAATTTGCTTACGGAGGCAAAATGCTTTACGGTTTTACTTTTACTGGGTTTAAGAAAAATGTTGAAAATTAAAACATGTATGGTCAACTTTGTTTAGATGAGAGAGATATATTATAATTTATAAGCCACATATTCATTACTAAAATACTCCCTCCGTCCCCCTAAGATCTTCTCGTTTTGACTTTTTGCGGTTTTTAAGGAGAGTTGAAAAAAGGTGAAAGTTTACCAAAATACCCTTAATGAAAATGGGTGAGGTGTATTAAATAAGGTGGAAAAGGTGTAATAAATAAAGTAAGTGGGGGTAGTTGAGGTATTTTAAATGTTAAAAAAGGTAATGAGAAGATCTATGTGGGACAAATAAAAAGGGCTAATGGGAAGATCTATGGGGGACGGAGGGAGTAGAAAATAAAGTGCAAAGGTTTTTTTTTGGGACGTTTTAAAAAAGAATGTGTAAAGCTTTTTATGGTATGGAGGGAGTATATAAAAAGATTAGCAGCTTTTTTGCCTTCTTTCTACTATTTGAAAGTGGAGATTTGGCTTTGATATCTTCTACAGAGGTTAAGGGTTCACAGTTTTAAGCTACCTGAAGCTTCTTAGCGAGGTCTTCGTGACTATGCAACACAGTAGATCTACTGGCAGCTTCCTTGGCATTGCTTAGCCTGCGAGAAACCTCAGCCTGAAAAAAGAGGAGTGGAATATAGTTGCAACATGTCATATCCAAGTAAAGTATCCGGGATATCATTAAATCAGAATTTCTGAAAGCAAACACTAAATGCACCTTGCATCGGTCACAAACACGGACAACTGGTGAATTCTCATCAGATGTCAAAGCAATTCTTGCTTGAGTACACTTGTCGCAGAAAATATCTCCACAATTACGGCAGTGATGCTGAAAGTATAAGAGGAAAAGCCGTTGTACATTTATTTACTCAGTTGGGTGGCACTTTCCAACTGCTGAAGTCATAAATAAATCATACTTATAAGAATGATACATGCCTTTCTATTAAAAGCATTAAAGTCTGCACCACAAGCTGTGCACTTCGAAACTGCTTCATCGGGGACCTGTTAACGTTAGCAGGTGAATAAAAGTCATCAACGTAACGATTAATCTTGATAAGGGCATAATCTACACCATTTGCACCAGACCAGCCCTTCTCATACTCAATAAAAACATAAAGAGAACTTATTATGCTCCATTTGATTGCGGGAAAATACAACCCAGTTGAATCCCACGGAGGTAGGGTCTGGGGAGGGTGTGTGCATGCAGACCTTACCCCTACTCGAAAGTAGAGAAGCTGTTTCCAAAGGTAGCCCTGGCTCGAGCACCACAGGTGATCATGTACCCAGCCTGACCCCTATGTTTAAAGCATAGAGTAGCTGTTTCCGGATGACCCATGATGAGCGTCGAAAGTAGCATTGACTAATTGCTACTTCACTCACAAAAGAAGCGCACACAGTTTAAAGAGTCATTTTGTTTTATTCCATCATACCCAAACCCAAAAAATAGTGAATCTTTGGCTCCATCAAACATGATGAAAAATGGTTGCAGAAAATGGTTTCCATGAAGTATGCTTTCATTTCAAAATAGGTTGTTCTATGTATAATATTATGTTTAATGCACAAAAAACTATACCCCATCCGTCCTAAAAAAAAGTGTTTGGTGTCATCAATGTATAACTTTTTAATTATAAGATACAGCCATTATAAAACATGAGAACTCGCTTGTTTTCATCCATTCCTTTTTTGGGATTAAAAAAACAAGTCAATAAACTGAATTTTTTTGCAGACAGAGGGAGTAAAACATAAAACTGTTTCGAGGAATCACAATCAAGCACAAGAAAATCATTCCAGAAAATTGTTTTAATGTGTCACACAAAGAAAAATCCAAAGAACATTATTCTAGATAATATTTCCATTTTCCCATGAAACAAATGGTGCCTAAGGGACAGAAATTTGAAGGAAGCATTAATTGGTTTATGTATAACAGTCGGAAATAGATTAGGATGTTTGTCACACTTATGAGTACAACGCAACATATCATGTTAACAGTGACACATGAACCGGAAATAATAGATGATCTAATTACCCAATGATCTTTCTCCTCGTTGACGGGCTTTATTGCATTGAGCCAACCCAAACCTTTTCTCTTTTCAGCAGGCTGTTCAGCCATCTTGTGTGATTCAGACGGTATACTTCCTCCACCCATCTCCTTAAACTTCATTACCAAGAGAAAAAAGATCAATATATTATGTTTTTGAATAGGGAGCAAGACTATTATGAAGAAGAAACACCCTTTGTACAGTTAACTCTTAACTGGTGAATGGTGATCCACAATCTGAAGACAAGAAGTATTCAGGGTGAACTAAATAGGTCAGAATGCATTGCAGCCCAAAACAGCAGGTGAGCTTTGCATGTATACGAGTGGATGAATTCACAAGTAGGTTAATTCATTACACATTCCTCTTTAAAGTTGTACTCCCTCCACAAAAAGAAAAGAGAAAAAAACAGTGTTTGAGTAAGGTACAACTTTTTATTTTCAGTCACATCTCAATCAAGGTACGAACTTTTACAAGTTTTTTTATGAACTTTTTGTTAAGAACAAAAGCACACACACGAATATAAAGCAAGAAAGCGATAAAGAACACGAGATTTAACGTGGTTCGGTCTAATCTGACCTACATCCACAGGGGCAACTAGGGTTTGTATTATTGAGTGATGATGATTACAAGTACAGGAGATCGTATATATAGACAACTAATTAGGGTTTAACCCTTGCTGGACAAGTTATAGCAAACTGGGCTTAAAACCATTTGGGCCGGCCGAAACCCTAATCTGGTCTCCTAACTCTCAGTTGTCTACAAGTGGGCCACTTTGGGCCGATGACTACACATCACCAACAATCTCCCACTTGGAGTCTTTGGACCAAACTGCGGCTTCTCTCTGTACTTCTGTAAATGAAAGATCCTCCTTGATCTTCACATCTCCCTAGTTGCCCCTCTCCTCAACACTATTCCAGGAGACCAGCTGAAGCTATGCAAAGCTTCAGCTTATCCAGCACCACTGTCTTGGTGAACATATCTGCTGGATTCTTAGCACCTGAGATGTTCTTCAACTTGATTGTTCTATTACTGATCAATCCCCTCACAAAGTGATACCTCATCCCGATGTGCTTTGTCTTGCCATGATAAACAGGATTTTTAGCAAGTTTCACTGCACTCTCATTGTCACAGTACAATAAGTAATCAGACTGTTGTTTGCCCAACTCTTTAAGAAAAGTCTTCAACCAAACTAGTTCTTTACTGGCCTCTGCAACAGCCATATACTCAGCCTCTGTCGTAGATAACGCCACACTTTTCTGAAGTCTAGACA